AATAAATTCCTTGGTTTTGTACTCCTGGTCTCCTCGTTCCGTGCTCCTCACAGTAGCAACCCGTGACAGATTTCCAGACCTCACAAAAAAGTGAGCAGCAACTTTTCCTCGCGTTTGTTTTTTCCGCCTTTTTGAAAAGTTTTTTGTTTTCCCCGCGGCTATGGAAATTGCTGCTCGGTTCTCTGCCTTAGCTCGCCTAGATCTCCCCTTTGTTGAGTATTCCAGGGAGTTCTGCAAGCTCGCCACGGCAGCGGCTACGGCCCTCGATGACACCACCATTAATTCTCTGTTCTGGCTCGGGACCAACTACCATCGCCCCGTGGACCTCCCAGACACCACGGGACTGAGCTGGAGGCAAGGAATCCTCCAGTGTCTGGAGAGCGTCCTGCCCCAAGCCAGAACCAGCCCGCCGTCTGCGGCTCACGCAAGCCTGCCGCTGTCCGCCGCCTACTCTAGTTCACCGGCCGTTAATATGGCAAGCCCAACAAACATTAATATGGCAAGCCTGCCATGCGTTCATGAGGCCCCAGTGTCGGTTCCAGCCCCAGTGCCTGCTCCTCATAAGCGCCTTTCCAGAGCTCGCTCCAGTGTCGGCTCCAGCCCCAGAGCTCACTCCAGTGTCTGCTCCAGTTCCAAAACTCACTCCAGTGCCAGCTCCTGATCCCCAGTTAAGCCCACGGAGGGCTCCTGTTCCCGAGTATAGCCCACGGAGGGCTCCTGATCCCAAGTTAAGCCCAGGAAGGGCTCCTGATCCCCAGTTCAGCCCAGGAAGGGCTCCTGTTCCCGAGTATAGCCCACGGAGGGCTCCTGTTTCCCCGTTAAGCCCAGGGAGGGCTCCTGTTCCCGAGTATAGCCCACGGAGGGCTCCTGTTTCCCCGTTAAGCCCAGGGAGGGCTCCTGTTCCCGAGTATAGCCCACGGAGGGCTCCTGTTTCCCCGTTAAGCCCAGGGAGGGCTCCTGTTCCCGAGTATAGCCTAGGGAGGGCTCCTGATCCCCAGTGAAGCCCAGGAAGGGCTCCTGATCCTGATGTCGGCTCCCGCTCCTCGTAAGCGCTTTCTAGAGCGCCATCTAGTGCCCGCTCCTCCACAGCGCCCCCCAGGATTCCTAGATTTCCCCAAGAAAAATTTTTTGGGGGGGGGGCATATACCCGTGGCCGAGCCAGCTAAGGCCATGGAGGATCCGCCATGGCCTCCTGAGTCTCCTGCTCCGCCATGGCTCCCGGAACTCCCTGATCCGCCCTGGAGGCTCTCCTTGTCTCCGCCCTGTTCCTGTCCTGCACTAACCTCCAGGGCGCCTGCCCCCGGGAGGGGGGCGATCTGTCACGTTTATGTTTCCATGCCCCCATTTGGTCTTCCTGTTCCTGCTCCCTGATTGTTTATCATTTGTCCCAGGTGTTTCCTATGTGGTTTCCATTGATCCCAGGTGTGTCTTGTCATCCCATCATCCTGTTCAGTGTATTTAAAGAGTGTTCTGTTTCCTGTTGTTTTGTCCGGTATTGTTGATGTCTACTCCTTGTGCTACGTGTGATTCCCGATATAAATAAATTCCTTGGTTTTGTACTCCTGGTCTCCTCGTTCCTCGCTCTGTGTTCCCGCACCGTAGCAACCCGTAACAGCTAAAGTACACAGTTTAATCTTGACTTTCAGTGTTTATTACAGTGTTTTTATTGGCGTCATGGTTTGGCCATAATAGTTTAGCTTAGTCAGTGGGTGAAAAACATGAACAAATTGAACAAAATCTTAAATTTGTTCTTAAACAAGCTTTTCAAAAGAATTGGAAAAGTATGGAGTTGCTTTGTTTTTTTTCTGAACTGGAGTAATAAATTTAAATCTTTTATGAGGCTATCTGTTGCCTGTGTTGTCCCTGTTGTCATATTGTGTGTGATTTTAATTTTAAAACCCATTTTGGGTTAATTTAACCCAGCAGTAGGCCAATAGTAAATTTCAAACAATATTTGAATTAAATAAAACAGTACACCATGTTTATTGATGTATTACCTGATATATTATGTATGTATGACCTACTGTATAAATAATTGTTTCAGAGTAATTTGTTGTAGCCACTCTAACTACATGGAACAGGGTTCCCCCACTACAAGCACCACTATAATTTACAGCCCGCAAATGTTGTATTTACCTTGTAACTACATGGAACAAGGGAGGAACAAGTTGGACTTAAACACAGAACAAGTGTATATTTGCACAGTAATTACAGAAAACAATATTGCACTATTTTTAATTTAATTGTTCGATGGCCAAATTAAACCCTCTACATTTTTTTTTTTTGCTATAAAAACACCACAGTATACATCCACTGAAATACAAATGTTGTATCATGTATTTTTTCTGCGAACAGCTGGAAAGAGGTAAGCTTGTTTTAAGCTGCATTGAACCTTGATGGTATATCATGCAAAGTTATTTGGTGATAGTGGTGTTGGGACGTTGCTGGTGTGACTCAGCTGATATCGAAGAATAAGCTTTCATAAGGTAAGTTTCACTAGTTCATTAACTCATTTCACTAGATGTCCAGTTTTCTTGTTCAGTAATCTCCATCATGTGTGACGTATCCTTTAATAATAGAATATGTACCCCATGGTTAGGCCTATAATAAAAATACCAATATAAAATTATAAAAAGTATATGGTCTTTCTAAATCATTCCCAAACATAAGTTTGTTGTTTAGGCCATACATACCACGTAATATTAGAATAGGTACCTCTTAGTTTCAAAATACTTACAGTATAAATGATTTGTAATTTTACAGGTTATTACCCCTTTATTCCGCAAACGTTGCATATTATTCCCCTACCTACTACTGTTTTTTTCTCTTTGTGACAGAATTAATACTGAAACTGTTCAGGCATGTCCTGCTATGTCTGAAATCACTCACTCAATGACTATTTTAAATTAAGAAAGCACCAGTCTATTGGAACCAAGCATTTCAAGGTGCTCTTGCCATTTTGTTTGAAATATATATCAGGCAGTCAGTAAGCAAGCTGAGACTGAAAATAAAAACTCCATGGCCCCAGGTAACTTCCTCATCATAGAAGAAATCAAGCAATGTCAGAAGTGCTGCTCTTTACATTGAGGTAGCAAACTGGAAAGTGTTTAAAATTTCATCCCTGCCTGCCAGAATTGTGCTAGTATGATGCCCAGCTGCTTGTGCAATACTGTCAAACCTTCAGGACCCCTGTTTTCACTGATGGACTGGTGGTCACCAGAATGTTGTCCAATAAAGAAATATTGTTGACAAGGGACAAGACTCTTTGTCACTGCCAGTAGTTTCATTTACTGTGTTTAAGCAATCTCAGCCAGTGTCATGCCTGGTACTTTCAAAGATAAAAATGTTAATAATTTATTTAATGCTTATGTTAAGGGATAGTAAATACACAGATATTTTGTATCTACTTCCATTCACAGGTACCTTTCATACTGAAACCAGAGTATCTTTTTAAAAATGCAAAAGTCTTCCATTCTTGAGCATAACTGTCCTGCTTCTTTATAACAGTACCATGCATTTGTAGAGGTTATTGACACATTCAAGACACGTTCTCGTTCTTCGCTGTTCACTGAACATTATTTAAAGAATTGCTCATCTTAGGCCCACTCAATGTGTCAAACATCAGAAGAGTTGTCATAGCCACGTGATGGCATATAATTTGCACCACAAACCTTTGACACCCACAAGCACACAATCATCATACGAAAAGACAGGTTTGAGAAACAACATATTTATACTATGATGGTTTGCTTTTACAAATATTAGTTAAATGTAAAAAAATAGCAATGCTGTAATTTTTAAAGACATTATTGTTACAATTCTAGGAAACTGTTCTTGTTCAATTATGTTAAATTTTACACCAATAATGAATTGACAGAAATATTTACATTTTCTTATCTCGCTACAGATCATGGGGCAGTACCAGATTTACCTTGTTTTCTTGGCATTGCTTCTAATGTCCATTTCTGGAGAGGATGACATAAGTGCATCAAAAGAGTGTGAGCATGCTCCCTTTGTTCCAGGATACAATCTTGCTGGAGAAGGATTTGATGTTGTGACCATGGAGCGAAAAGGTTCTTACGTTATCAACACAGAAATATGGGATTTAGGAAACGGCACTTGTAAATTGCGTAAAAACAATTACATGAATGGAATAAAACAGAAGCTACCAACTGCAGTTGTAGACTGGAGGACCTTGCCAAAGTGTTCAATGAAAGTCTCCAGTCAGATCTTTGAATCAAGTGAAGCACTGGTCAATGATTCATCATCAGCACTCTCAGTCGGCTGGAAAGTTGGTTTAGACGTCAAGGCTGTTGGAGCTGCGGTTGGAAGCACTCATTCCAGGGAAGCAAAATTTGCAATGACAAAATCAAAACAAGACAAATACAGTTTCACCAAACATGAAGTTGGGTGCAATTTTTACAGGTGAGAGAGCTGGGGTCCTTTTTTTCTTTCACTCATACTGTTAAAACGATAAGGACTATGCAAAGAAATGAAAATATTAACTGCAAATTGTTTCTTCTTTGATTCCACAAAATTTAAATGTGTCTATTGTTTCTTTACAGCTATCGTGTAGCTGCAAAGCCTCCTCTTCATGAAGAGTTTCTTGAAGCAATCAAATCACTCCCTGCATCCTACAATCCAGACGCATACCGCAACCTGATCACCACATATGGCACTCACTATACCACAAGTGTCAATTTAGGAGGGCAAATGAAAGCCATAACAGCCATCAAATCCTGTCAGGCAGCAGTGAGTGGACTTACAGACACTGCGGTGAAAGACTGTTTGGATGTGGAAGCTTCTGGTTCCTACAGTGTAGCAACTGTGAAAGTAGAAACACATTTTTGTAAAGAAAAGAAGAAGAAGATGGGCACAAATGAAAAGTTCAGCTCCATGTTCAATGAGCGTCAGACAGAGATTATTGGAGGAAACATAAACGGAGAAGATCTGCTTTTTTCTGGTTCATCACACCCAAATTCCCTTAAAAAATGGCTTGAGTCTTTGAAGAGTCTCCCTGACATTGTACATTACTCTCTGAAACCCCTCCATTTCTTACTGAGTAATAAACACCCTGCAAGAAAAGGACTGAAGAAAGCTGTTGAAGCATACATCATTCAAAATGCCCTCATGAAGGTTTGCTCTGAGCCTTGCAAGATTGGCAGGAAGTGCAGCGCAAGAGACCGATGTGCTTGTGTTTGTGAAAGTAGTAAAATTATAAAGTCTAACTGCTGTCCAGCTGAAAAAGGACTTGCCACTCTGAAAGTCTACAAGCTCAGAGCCAAAGGTCTGTATGGAGATGTAGGTAGTCAAACAGATGGCACTGTGACTGTTACATATGGCACGCAAATCAAGCGCACCAAGACCATTGATGATAATAACAATCCACGTTGGCCAGAAACATTTGAGTTTGGACCTATTAAGATCAGAATAGCCAATAAACTAACTTTTAAAGTAGATGATGTAGACGGCTCCTGGAACAGCGATCTCCTTGGTTCATGCTCTTTTGATCTTAGAAGTGGAGTTGTGACTGATGCTTGTGTTTTTACATATGGCACTTTCTTTTTTACCTATGAAGTGAAATGTGCACCCAGTCTGCAGGGCCCACAGTGTAATGAACACAAACCTTCTCCAATGACTACCTCTCTGGCTGATATTTTCAGCTCAAGAAATGGTGTCCTGGTTAAAGACCTGCCAAGGCTTGAATTAGCTCTCAATAACTCTGATAAGGTTAATTTCAAGAGCATTTATGGAAAGCTGATGATGCTGTGACCTCCATCTTGAATCCATCCTTTATGCCTGAAAAATAGCCAGTACTTTCATCTGTTAGGAAAAAAAAAACATCTTTAACCTTTGCTTACTTATTTTCCCATTACTGATATTTTAAAAATATTTTATATTATTCTCTGTTTTTGCATCAATAAAGCATTTTAAAGACATCTATGTGTTTAAGTTGTTTTTTTTACTTACAATATACTAAATCAACTAACAGTGCACTAACTACAGCCAGTGCTGCTCCTGCCCCATTTGGCATTATAGACGAGAAACAAGAAACTCCACCCTCATCACCACTTGAGCAAATTGTCACACTTTTTTTATTTTACAACAGTCATATTTAATTCCAGGTTAATTTTTGTAGGCTGCAACTTCAGATTACACACAGCTCATATCTGCATCTCTGTAAGATACCTAAATGAAAACCGGAATATGTTAGCCACATATGTGTAGCACAGACATCTAGTTGTCCAGTACGGTTCCATTCAAACAGCAGAGCTTCACAAAAAATACAGTTCTGTCAGGACCCCTATCGTCAAAATGATAGATACTTAGCATAAAGTTTGGTTTGGCGGTATGGTTCTGTTCTGGGCAAAAACCTCCCTGCCCATCCATGCAGCCCGTCATGAATGAGCAGGGAGAGCAGCAATAATAACCCCCCCCTGGGTTAACAGAACAGAACAAGGCAGATATCATCAATGTACTTAATATTTAAGTGTAACACTTTATTCAAGATAAAGGAGTCTGATTAGCAAGGAATATCAGAAAGCTAAGTCCTGACTGTGGCGAAGGTGGAGCTGGGGATGGAGGAGGGTAATTTGCTCCGGAGCAAGCTGAAAAGCTGCTGAATAATACTGAATAGAGCTTATATAGGAATGCCGCGATAGGTGTCGTATTCCTATAGGTAGATGTGATCAGCTGAGAATCAGCTGATGCAAGCTTGACTCACGTGACCTGCCAGAACTAACGCTAAAGCTTAATTTCTGTCAGGACCACTATCGTCAAAATGATAGATACTTAGCATAAAGTTTGGTTTGGCGGTATGGTTCTGTTCTGGGCAAAAACCTCCGTGCCCATCCATGCAGCCCTTCATCGTAACCTTCCAATCACCACCAAAGTGTTTTATTTATTTATTTTTATTTTTATAAACGAACATAGCTTGATCTCAGCCACTTCATTTCCCCCTAATTTCTCATGCTCATATGCTCACATTACTCAGCGTGAGCACATAAACAACCATAACATTGAGATTATGCCGCTGAATACAGCGAGCCCCAGTTGAAACGCATACACGAGAATGCTCGTTTCATTTAAACTTGTTCTCATGGCCTTAACTATCGGCATGTCCTCAGAGCGATTACATGCTCTAGACTACGTGTTGCTCCAGCTGTATGAACACAGACGCGTAAATGCTGCAAATATGCTTTTATCAATTAGCAGACCAGGAAATATACCAACGATATGGATTAAAACAGCATTCACTTATCTTAGATGTGGATTTCAGATGTTTTGAAACACGCTGCAACAGTTTGATTTGCGAGCAGCGATGCTTAATTTGCTCCGGAGCAAGCTGAAAAGCTGCTGAATAATACTGAATAGAGCTTATATAGGAATGCCACTATAGTGTCGTATTCCTATAGGTAGATGTGATCAGCTGAGAATCAGCTGATGCAAGCTTGACTCACGTGACCTGCCAGAACTAACGCTAAAGCTTAATTTGTGAGTCTTTTACGGTTTTACGGTTGTGAGTTTGGATATAAAATGTGGTTGTCTCCCCCATAAACAACTGAAATGTGTGTGAACGCAACTGTATTAATGACTCAAATACAGGACTGACAACCGTATTCTGCTGCTGGGTGAACATGGCCATAGACTCACATTTTTCACTGTCGGTTGTTCTAATACAATGTGTTCAGTCACATAACACTTCTCAGATGATGGCTCAAAAAAAAAAACTATGGAACTACAGATTAAGCAAATTTGGCAACATCCAGCTTTTGCACCTCTGTTGCTAAGAAAAAGACTCTTGAACAAGTTCAAGTCACTATTCATATTATTACCTGCTTCACTCACCTTTGTACTCCCACACTGTGTGTCCAAGAAACTTGCCTGGATTCATCAGATCTGAGTGTCTATCCTGACTTAGTAGAAAAGTCAGTTTCTCCTGTGCATTTGTGCCTTTCTTATGAGGAAAATGAGGGAGTTTATCCCCTGCATTCCTTTTAGGCCATAAAACCAGTGATATCAGCATTGGTTACCATGGAACCAGAGGCCTGTTCTGCCTTTCTGAGGTGTTAGGTGCATTTCGGGGGAAGGGTCCATAGACCCTCGTAATTGGCCATTTGGTTAGGTGATGGGGAGTTCGATATTATTTGTTAAATATAACAAAAAGTTGTGTGTCTGATTGGTCCAAATGCTACAGCTTTAAGATATTTTATGTAAAATTATAAGGCATTCATGACTTCCCATTATACTTATAATATTCTGCAAATATATGAAGATTATATTTAATTCAGTCAAGTACATTTATGTGGACTTTATGTGAAATAGATGAGCATGGTTTGCTGTCAGGAAGAGCTTTTTATATGGCATTACATTCAAGCACATAATCCTCTGGATGCATGTGCTTTGTGTTCTTTCTTTTAGTCAACATTAAGTCACAGTGATTATGAAATTAAGAATGTTATCAATAAATGATAGTGATTTTCACAATACAAATAGTAAACCCTAGGTCATTCTAAAACCTGGGTAAAGGGAGTTCGGGGTTTTCTTGCTTCATGTTTCACACTCAGGGGTGGATAAAGGTCTACACAAGCCTCTAGGCTCAGTTTCTAGAGGCAAAATAAACGCATTGGCAGGTCTCTGATCTAATTGTGTTGAGCACTGTCAAATTTACAGGCAACAATGGGCAGAGAATAAGGCAGTAATTGACAGCACTGTGATCCAATGGCAATGGGCATTGTCAGATTAACAGTACCTGTTCCTGGCACTGGTGACCAGTGTGGTGTAAATTTACAACTGAAATAGGGAGAGGTGATATAACATTAAGCCATCATGCGCATTGTGTGCTGCCTGTTATTTAAAAACCTCCATCCAGTAAAACTATTAATTACTAATACTGTAGAAATAGATAAATCATAAAATATTTGCAAAAACTGCTAAACAGAGGCCCCCTAATCATGTAGGCCCCTAGGCTACAGCCTAGATTAGCCAATGCCTTAATCTGCCCCTGTTCACAAAGATCATAAATTACCTGGGATTAACAATTAATCCTAGGCACTCAAAAACTCACATTTAACACTGTACATTCCTCAAAACTGGGTTAATGATTTTATTTTACTTCACTACAATGTTTCCCCTCAAATGCTGAAAGTACACGCACTGTATTTCCGTGACTTTCCAAAGCAGGTGAATATGAGGCACGTCATCAGGTGTCTGTTGCTAAGCATTCAGACACCATTATAACACAAAGTTTCACATTTGGCCACGCTATGCAGCCCGAAGACAGCAAAAAATCTAACCCTGCTCCAAAGCAGGGGTTCATAATCCTGGGTAAAAATCAGTGCTTCATCCAAAGGTTCACCTAAAGAATGACAATAGCCCAAGGTTAAGTGCAATAGCAACGTTCACACTGCAGGAAGATGTGGCCCAAATCGGATTTTTATATATTTATCTTTTTTTTTTTTTTTTTGCTCATATGTGACTCAGGCTCTGTTTATTATTTATTTATTTTATTAAAATATTTTTTTTCATTAAAGTGTAAACCCTGCTGTAAAATCCAGCATAAACTTGGCTTGTTTATACTGGTTAGTGCTGGTATAGTGCTGGTCTAGCTGATGGACCAGCATAATGGAGCTTTTGAAGCTTGTTCATCAGCATGGTTTTGCGGGGTTGAGTGTGAGAAACCAGTTGTCTGTATGCAAGCAGTTTCTGTCACGAATCCGGTTCTGGCTGTTCCTCCCAATCACCACCAGAGGACTTTACCACCTTACTGACTTTTGCTTCCCGAACTCCCCATAACCTTCTGCCCAAACTCACCATGCTCATTGATCACACACCTGAACGTCATCACTGTCATAATCAGGATTACTACTTTAGCACACACCTCACATCAGTTCTCTGTTTGGTCTTGTTTGAGTAAGGTTGTGGACTACTTACCTTTCCCTGTGTTATGCTCGTGCGATATCCTCCAGCGGTCATCTCCAGTTCCCCTCGTGCCTCCAAGTCTCCTGTGTGTGTGTGTGTGTGTGTGTGTGTACCCTATACTTACCTGTTTGCGAGGTGTGTGTGCTCCATCTATCTGCTCCGTTCAAGCCATCCACGATTCTCTGCATCTGTAATGAAAGGATTATACATTATTCAACTCTCTAAGTCTCAAGAACTGTTATTTGTCCATAATACTCATGTGCTTCCTGCTTGTTTGCTCAGTGCTGTCAATAAACATCCATTTCTGTATTTCACTGTCTCTGAGTCTACATATTATAACACAAGACCGGACCATAACAGTAGACGGCACTATGAACATTCCCCTTCGTCCTGTGGACCAGCTATATTTCTTCTCACAAAATGGCCGTCCCCTTGCCTATTAATGCAAAATATTTTTTGGAGCTGGCTTCTGCTATCTATTTGGAGGATAAACTGCTTATGACGATCTTTGGATAATTAAATTTTTGGATATGTTTGGATGACCATTATATTCCATGATGCCCTGGGATACTAACAACTGCTCATTGGAGCAATATGCCCTATTTACACTCTTACTCAGTCAATCTGCTCTATCGCACAACAGTGCAGGCTCCAGCCGCTGACCAGAGTCCAGTGCAGGCTCCAGCCGCTGACTAGAGTCCAGTGCAGGCTTCAGCCGCTGAGCACAGTCCAGTGCAGGCTCCAGCTCATGAGCACAGTCCAGGGTCGGCTCCACCCTCGCTCCAGAGCTCAGCCAGGATCACGCTTTCACTCCAGAGTTCAGCCAGGAGTCCGCTCCTCTCCATGAATCT